AGGCTTTTTGTTAATAAAGCTTCTATGAGTCATGCTCAACTCGAAGGCAATAAACAACAACAACATACATACGACAACAATCTGGAACAAGGGGTACACTGCTGGGTGGGCTGGGGAAGGAGGGATGGGAAGGAGGGAAGAAAATGTGCAATAAAAAAATGTTTTAAAAAATCGCCTTTAGGCAAATAAATGGAGAAGTTTTATAAAGATTGACAGTAACTCTTGCTCTGAGCAATGATTCTGACTTGAACATAGTATTTCTTTATGACAAATCAATAAAGGAAAAAATTAGTTACATGATATTTTCTAGACTTTTTTTTTATGTATGGGGAAAAAAGCCTACCTTCACAGAGAATTTTACAGTGGCTGAAGGAATTCACCCACAAGAAGACAGGAGTTTATGAAGAATCATGAAGAAGTAAGTTCATGGACCCAAGTAAGCTAGGAAAATAGAAGCGAGAGAAAAAAGGGAAACCACTGTTTTTGCTTTATAAAGTCCCAAGGTAACAGAAAAGTACATCAGACTGTGTTAGAGTTTCAAATATAGATTAACTGAAGGAGAAAGGGGAAATAAACATTTACTGGAGATCTCCATAAACTGAAGACTATTCCCAAATAACTGGCATTAATAAAGCAAAACAGTTAATGAAGGAACAATTGCCACATAACTAAAATAAATTAACTTAAGAGGCTAGATAAGCTAACACAATTAAGCAAAATTAAGTAAAGTCATTAAAACCCAGTTAAGTTTCAGCAGAATTTACAAATACACTGTCTAATACTATCACTGGAATACAGGTTGTCTAAGCTTTCATTTCTGAAAACATTTGTACTGCTGGCTGATGTGATTTCTTGTCTTCATTTTCACTCACTCTTTACCAGGAGAGAAAGCCCAGCTTAGCTCAGTCTGTATTTGTAAACTGGATGGCCAAAGAACCTAAGAGCTTGTAAAAAGTATATATTCTTTAATGCTGCTTTATTCTACCCACACTACCCCAGTCACTGAATCAATCCAATCTCATCAAGTGTTTTCCTTTCTTGTGCTGTAATGGGGGTAGGTGTGTCAGAGACAATAAGGTTGGCACAGGACAGAGCAGGGTTCAAAGCTGTTTTACATAGGGTTGCTATGAGTTGCAAGCAACTTGATGGCACATAACAACTACAAAAATGCTGCTTTAGAGTTTTGGAAAACTTTAAAAGGTTTAGAATCTGTGTCTATAGAAATATCTGTAGATGTTTCCAACGTACAAATTTTTAAAAATAGACTGTTGATGTTGGGTGCCAATGAGTCGAGTACAATCCATAGAAACCATATAAATAAGTTTTGAATTCTGTCTTACCTTGTGCCATCCTTATTATCTCTATTATCCATGAGCCCACTGCTGCAGTCACTCCTTGTGGGTCTTCTTCTCTTTGGCTGACCCTACATCTTTTTAGGAAGTGCCCCTTTCCAAGAAATACCCTCTCCTAGCAATATGCCCAAACTATGTGAGACCATGCTTGTCATCACTGCCTCCGAGAAGCACTCTGATTTCACTTTCTTGAAGACATATCTGTTTGCTCTTTAGGCAGTTCATGAGTTCATTCAGTGCTCTTCTCCAACACCACAACGCAAAGGCAGCAATTTATCTGTCATCCTTATTCATTGTCCAGCTCTCAGATTCACAGCAAGTGATTGAAAAGACTATGGCCTGAATTAGTTGCCCTAAAGTCTTCAAACTGACATCTCAGTTCCTCCGTAAATTGGAGAAGACAGAGGATGTGCCCAATACAGTATGTCTCTTGATCTGACTGCTGGTACTAGGGTGTAGATTGTGGATCCGAGTAACATGAAGTAGACTAGAATATGCTTTTAAACCCATTTCAAAATAATTCTAGAATTCTTAGGAGGAGCTTTTGGACTTCTCTGTCAAGTTCCAGGCAGAAATGTCTCACTTTTATCTATATTATATACCTATTATGTTTTTTAAAATCTAAAAAGTCACAAGACAAGATGGAGCAAAAAGAATTCATCCACTTAAGAACTGAGTCTGTGATTGGCATTATAACTAAACTAATAACAAAATAGAAGATACAAGGGAGATGAAAAGACCAAGACTGACAGATACAGAATATTTATTAATGCCAAAAGGAAAATCTTATACAAGAGTTCTATAATGTCCCTCTCCAAGGGCTAGCCTCTCGTATCAAAATGCCCTAAGTATGTGAGACAAAGCTTTATCATCCTTCTCCAAGGAATATTCTGGCAGCACCTTCTCCAAAACATATGTTTGCTGTTTTTAGTGTCCAAGGATATTCAGTACTCTTTTCCAACACCAAAGTTCAAAGTGGGCACACCTTAGTCCTCAAACTGACATCATTGCCCCTCAACAATTTGGAGAGGTCCCTGACTGCTGAGTTTTCCAGAGCAATACACCTCCTGATCTCCTGACTGCTAATACAAAGGGTGTTGATGGTAGATCCAAGTAAGATTAAATTGATGACAGTTTCAATCTTTTCTCCATCTATTATGGTGTGACCTTTTGGTCCAGTGATGAAGATCTTTGTTTTCTTGATGTTGAGATGCAATTCATATTGAAAGTTTCAAATCCTCCTCACTTTCACCAAAGTTCTATCATCTGCATAACAGGTTATTGATGAGTTTTCCTCCAACTATGATGCCACATTCTTCTTTAAAGAATCCAGCTTCTTCAGGAATTTGCTCAGCATACAGATTAAATAAGTATGGACAGAAAATACAATCCTGATGCACATCTAAATCTTAAATCATGTAGCATTCCCTTGCTTTGTTCACAGTATAGCCTTTTGGTCTAAGTATTGATTTTGCATGAGCATAATTAAGTATTCTGGGATTCCCATTCTTCTCTATGTCAGCCATTATTTATTATGATCCACAGAGTCAAACACCTTCGCGCAGTCAATAAAGCACAAATAGACATTCTTCTGGTATTCTTTACTTTCAGCCAGGATCTATCTCATATCAGCAATGATATCTCTGGTGCCATGACCTCTTCTAAATTCAGTTTTAGGTTGCTGGCAGTTTTCACCCATCTACTACTTTAGCCATTTTTGGATGATTTTCTTCAGCAGTATTTTGCTTCCATGTTATATAAACAATTTTGTTCAATAATTTCTGCATTTTGCTGGATCATCTTTCTTGGGAATGGGCATATAGATCTCTGCCACTCAACTGGCCAAGCAGCTGTCCTCAAATTTCCTGACATCGACTGGTAAGCCCTTCCAGGGCTTCATGTGTTAGTTGCAACATGTTAATTGGTATCTCATTGATTCTTGGGGCCTTAATTTTTGGCAATGTCTTCAATGCAGTTTTAACTTCTTCCTTCATTACCACTGGTTTTTAAGTTTGTAGTACTTCCTGAAATATTTCTGCATCAGCCACTTCTTTTTGGTACAGTGACTTGTGCATTTTCTCCATCTTCTTTTGATGTTTCTTGCATCTTCCAAGATTTTGTCCATAGCATCTCTTAGCATTGCAACTCAAAACTTGAATTTGTTTTTCAGTTCTTTCAGCTTGAGAGATGATGAGTGAGTTCTTCTCTTTTTAATTCCAGCTCTCTGCATATTCTGTACAAATACTATGCTTTGTCTTCTCAAGCTGCTGTTTGAAATCTTTTGTTCAGATATTTTACTTCAGCATCTCTTCCCTTTGTTTTGGTTTCTCAATGCTTCAGTACAATTTTCAGAGTCTCTTCTGATATCCATTTCTTTAACTTAAGTATTGGTTTTCTAGTAAGAGTTGTCCGTTGTTCCAACAATAGAGGAACAACAAACAACTCATACTTGCCTTTTTAATGCTATGTAAATTTACCTTCACTTTGAAAAATTTGAACCAAACCTTCCTTCATCACAATCACTTCCTCCTGCTGTTCATGCAGCTTTTATATCATGGAAGAGGTTTCTTTTTTTCTTTCTTTTTTCTCTTACTAAACCAAAACCAAACCAAACCTCTGTTGCTGAGTCAGTAATGACTCATAGTGACCCTACAGGAAAGAGAAGTGTACACTAGGGTTTCCAAAGCTGTAAATCTTTATGGAGGAGGACTCTGCTATATCTATCTCCCATGGAGCAGTGGAGCTACTGAATTCACACCACTGGGATTAGCTTGCCAGCTGAGCATTTTTACACTGCATCACCAAGACTCCTTTCTTGCACTAAAGGAGGGATAAATAAGAGCCATATGTATCTGTTTGGACTTACCTACAAATTTAACCTAAAGATGCAGTTAGATATGGATCATGCTAGTAACCCAGGGATTGTCTACATTTCTATTTATGGCATATTAAGAGAACTCACTAGATTGTGTAATAAATCATCAAATAGGAAAATATTTATATAAGTACATATCTGCTGAATAAATTGCATACACTTCTGCCATTTAGAAAAGAAACTACTTTATTCCAGGCTTCCAAATGAAATGCAAAGTCTGTCCAAATGAATCCAAGCACTGTAACCCGACCTTCCACAATCCCAATTCTGCCTCCATGACCTTTTGTCTGGCAGGTAAAGACTAAGAAAGGTAGTAGTGGGCCTGGATGGTGTTGCTCTTCAGCAAATGATCACTCCACGAGGAATATGATCAGATTGCACATTTGTCTATGTCTTTTCCTGAGTTTTGGATACTTAGAACACCTTCCCGACCCTCCCTTCATCTACTCTAACCAAGAAATGTGTGTTATAGAGAAAGGCAGGTAGGAAGACTAATTTCTTCTTCTATGTTTGGTTATTTCTTCATATGATTAGGTCCATATATCCTGGTTTTTTAATTTCTATTCACTCACTCATAGCTGACCCTCCAGCAGGTTTCCAAGACTATATATTATAAGAGATAAGACTTCCTATCTTGCTCCTGCTTACTTATTTCCAAGTAAGTTCATTGGAAATCAGACTTCAGATATCCAAGCTAGTATGCAGATAAAATTCCCATGGGCTATTTTACCGCATCAAACAGCATATTTCCTTTTTTTTTCTTTTCCACTTACCTGTCTGAATACACATACTTAGCAGGAGATGAACTGAATAAGAAGCCAGGAGAGCAACAATCAGCAGCAAGAAACTAAAATATAAAAGAATGTAAGTCAGTATCTCTCAAGTTTTTCACTTTCATACTGCTTTACAAAAACACATTTTTTCACATTCAAATGTTCCTAGGGACTGTCTCTTGAGTACCTCAACTACGGTCATTTTCTTTTCTATTTTTTTTTTATTTGCTATTGTGTACTGTAGAGTTGTCACTGACCCAGAGACCCAGAGCTGACCCTCTGGTGGGTTTTCAGAAGCAATTAATCACATGGGAGGAGATTGCCTATCCTTCTTCTGCAGAGCAGTGGTGGGATTAGAACCACATGCTTTCGGGATTGCAGCATAGCTTCTTGCCACTAGGCCACCAGAGGAGGTTTTTTGTATATATCAGATTTAATTTAAATTAAATAAACAAAGAAGATGAACCAGAACTGGCTTTGACAATCACTGTGGCAATGGAACAATTAAAACAGACTTTCAAGGGGGGGAAAAAAAAGAGGAACGAACTGGGGG